AAAAGGAGGCAAAAGATTTTCCTCATCGATTAATTAAGAAGAAGAGAATTGCCCAGTTAATTAATTAAAAACCGGACGAAAAACGATACAAACCCATTATATGTGGACTACACACATAGCATGCAACCCCATAAGCGCACGATCAGCCACGACCACCAACCCCACACTGCTGCATCGTAAAGAAACCCCCAGAGTACCTCGGCGGAAGACCACGGGCACCATCAAATCCATAGAGACAAGCCAGACCATAAAGACAACCCAAAATATTGATGACAATCCATCAAGCAGTTACGGATGCCTTTTCTATAACGCCACACTTTTTCTGCTTCTGAGAGCCTCCTCCAGAATCGTCTTACCAGATCTAGAGCTAGTCCTCTCCAAACGTGCGAGCAAGCATATGGACAAACACAATGGTTAGTTGGTGGCTGAGACCAGGTGGTTTCTGGCGTCACTTGTTAAGTCTTTGGGAAGGATGGCTCATGGTTGATGAGCGATTCTACTGGATTGACATGAGTGCTTATGGCTGGCGATGATGACTAGATGCGAAATGGTATGGGCTGTCCGGTCACAAAGCAACATCACATTTTTTTTCATATTCCATTTTTAATAGCAAAAGAAGTTCTAGCATTCTCTTTCAGTTTGTCAAGTGGGGAGCGTCGAATAAGCTCTGAGTAACTTAGGAGCTAAGCTTTACAAAGAAGAACTCGAACCACTAGATTACTAGCTTTACTTATCTCAATTTATATCATGGTATAATCTCCGCATCAAGATGAGTTTAACACCAATAATAAGATAAAATAGATTAACACTGAGGGAATAAAATATACTCCCTCCGTTCCTAAATATTTGTCTTTTTAGAGATTTCAACAAGTGACTACATACGAAGCAAAATGAGTGAATCTACACTCTAAAATATGTCTATATACATCCGTATATGATAGTCCATTTGAAATCTTTAAAAAGACAAATATTTAGGAACGAAGGGAGTAGCTCATACCTTCTTATAAATGTACCTGAAATTTCCTAATATCACATAAAAACTATGGCGGTTACTGGTTGTTTGCTAATATCTTTTATATTCCTGAGTTACTAATAATAATTAAATGAGTGGCATAATATTAATATATTAACTAGTAAGAAAAAACCTGTGTCCATTAGTGTGGTAGGACAAACCACGTCCTTCTTTTGTTTAGTTATAATTGTATGATTTGAGTTATATTGACAAATTTGCTTCTAAATCATGTCTAAATTGACGGATGATGATTGGTTGTTTCCTCCATCTATTTTTCTTGATCTGTTGAAATTAGTAAGACAATAAGAAGCAAGATCCATTTAAGCACCAATCATTGCCCACTGGTTTTGGATTTATGGCGCAAAGCTAATATTCAATTATTCGTCATAAAACCAAATCAGTTTCATCATCAAGTATATTTTTCGTACTAATATATATATTTGGTGTTGTAGATATTAATGTATTTTTCTATAAACTTGCCTAAACCTTTAATTAATTTGGAACGGAGGGAATAGCATGCAAGCGCTATTCTGGATTTAGTGCCGTTTAGAAGGCAATATACACTAATACAACTTCTTCTCCTGTAACCATTTTACTCTTTGTCCATAGCTCCTGCCCTTTTCTTCTCCACATCATGTGTCACTTCTGCCATTGATCCCTCTACCCTTCATAAAGATGCAGTTGTTTACTGCTGCCCTTTTCTTTTTCCACATCATGCATGTGTCACTTTTGCCACGTATCCCTCCACCCTTACGTAAAGATGCATTTGTTAGAGCATTACTAGTAGAACCCTCAAACCCTCAAATCCTTAAAGCACTTTTAAGAGTTGAGAAGTGCCACTTTTTGACACTTTTAAGGGTTGAAAAACAGGGGCAAATACTAGAACCCTCAAACCCAACCCGTAAACTGCTTTAAGGGTTGGATTTGAGGGTTCTAGTCTTTGCCTCAACCCCAACCTTTAAATCTATCATTTGAGAACTCACAATTTATGACAACAAGAACATAATCAACTTCCAAACAAACTACCAAATGACAATCATTGATGCATGGTTTAATAGTTTACATCACAAAATCATCATCTTCCTCCTCTCATCGGCACCATCACCAAAAGTTGCACCTCAGCGCCATCTCCTAGACCACAAGCGGGCTCCATCAAGCATCTCCATCGGCACCGGTGGAGTCGTACACACCGCCATCACCACAACTACTCATCGGAGTGTCACCTCGAAAAGTAGAGGACGCAACTTGGAACATCCTCTTCCTCTCCGCGATGTCCTCGAGCACCTCGAGCACCTCGTGCGCGGCGGGAGGAGGTTCGGCGACGGTGGCGGGCGGGGCCGCGGCCGCGGCGGCGGGCTTCTTCCGCGGCTTCTTCACGGCCGGGGACGAGCCGACGACCTTGGCGGCCCCTCGAGGCCCACGGCCGGCCACCTTCGGCCGGCTCTTCTTAGGGGCGGGCGCCGGGGCTGTGGCGGGGGCAGGCGCCGGGGCGGAGACGGGGGCCGGGGCGGGAGGCTG